GTCCCCAAGAATGATTATAACAGAGTCTGGGTGTTGTTGTTCTGTGTCTGTGATCTGATCAGACAGTTTCTATAAATCTGAGCTCACGTGTGCTTGCGGAGGAATGTAAACACTGACGAGAATGAACGAGCAAAACTCCTGCGGTTAATAGAACGGCTTGCAGTTAACGAAGAGCGCTTCTAGATCGGGACAACACATCTTCTTTAACGCTGTAACATCTGTACACCACCTTTCGTTGATGTAAAAACATGTCCCGCCGCCGCGTGATTTCCCCGTTGATTCTGCGTCGCGGTCTGCTCTAAACAGCTGAAAACCCGGGAGACTCAACGCGCTGTCCAGAATGGCGTCATTCAGCCAGGTTTCCGTGAAACACAGAGCAGCAGAGTTTGAAAAATCCTTGTTTGTCCTGGAGAGCAGAAGAAGTTCGTCCATTTTGTTGGGTAGAGAGCAGAGATTCGCCAGATGGATGCTAGGCAACGGCGTTCAAAATCCGCGCTGCCTGAGCTTCACGAGCACGCCGACTCTCTTCCCCCGTCTGCGCGTCCTGAAGCGCTTGCTCCGCCAACTACAACGTTCAGCAAAACGTCTGAATAATCGAAATCCGGTAGAAGATTTTGTGGTGTGTTCTGCCGAATGTTCAGCAGTTCATCCCTGGTAAAACTGATCGTGTTTGAGAAACAAAAAAAACAGGAGAAATGAACAAAAACAGTACAAACACTGGAGAGCCAAGCACTGAGGCAGCCGTGTGCGGCACAATCTCCCCCTTATCATATTAATGATAATTAGATATTACATATAATTTGGTACTAAAAGGGTTGCACGTTTTATTGGTGCAAATGAGTAGTGGTGATATTTATTTTGTACAACATTTGCAACTGCTTTTTATCACTTAATTAGAAGCACCACAACATTAAATTGTCATCTGTTATAGAGACACTGAACAGACATTTAGAAGTTGATTTTAAAATGCAAAGTATTGAAAATAAAAATAAAGCTCTGTAAACACTTGCTTTTTTACAACACTACAAGTGTGTCCCATCAGGTAATGAAAAGTTCTACACACACACTTGTGGTCTTCATGCTCACTTGAATACTTGGACCAGATACAGGAAATACGTCATATAAGTAGTCAAGTGGTCAAGTGCAAAGACCGCAAGTGCAAAGACCGCTCACCCCAAAGTCTTCACTCCAAGGGCTCTGCCCTTCGAAGGGAGTAGGGCATAGGGATGATCACTTCCATTTGGAATTTACCCCGTGAACCGTTCGATACGAAAACACGTACCGTTACACCCCTAATAAAAAGCTATCAATGCCTTAATTGTGTGATAAAATATGGGAATAATGTATGTACCTTATGTATCTTCTTTTAGTTTTTTAGTACGTTATTGTTCTCTCAAATAAAATGTTGAAAAAAGAGAGTATTGAATAAGTTATATTGTCAACTCAATAATGCAACAATATTTTGTTATTATTAATTTAAATCAGAAGAACTAATATTATGACAGAGGAAAAAGTTCTCACCGCCCGACAAGCACGTGTTTCCGGACTGCCTCTGTTGACTTCCGGGAACATGGCGATCACCGGGGCGGCGGATGACCACTGGCGGAGTGCAAGGGGAGTGTAACGGAAGGCCGGGCGCCCCGAGGTTACAGGCCTGACAGACGAGTCCGCCGCGGCGACAGGACACGAGTCTCGTGTGTGGATCTGTATCGAGATCATAGAGAGAAACAGTTCCGCTCAGGCAGCTTTACCTTCACCTACACTGATAATCACTGACTTTAGCTGCTGGAAAAGAGTCGCGCATGATGATCAAGCCATGTCCTACCGGATCGCACCAAATTCACGCACTATATTAGCCATATTTTAATAAAACTCTCGCGGTTTCGTGACGCGGAGCAGATCAACCGCAGCTTCAACACGCAGATACTGTGAAATCATCATCGGTGTAGCAGTTTGTTAGCAGCGCGCAGCTCTGCTCCTCTTCCGGGGCCTCAGCAGATGCTCCATAAATCCTGCTTTTACAACATGTCAGTCCCGTTAAAGCTTTTATTAAAAATCAGTTTGTAATTCCACGCGGCTGTGCAGCACAGTTAGCCCTCGAATGATTTGAATCGAGAGCAATAATCTTGCCAATGCCACCAACTCCTGCGTGTGAACTCATCCTCCTGACCCTGCACGTCCATCCACGCTCCAGCCTCTGAGATAAACATGTAAGCCTGCTTTTAACGACATTGTCACGACAGGTCTCATGGAAGTGTTGCAACGGAAACATTTTAGACCTAGTCTGTTTTATAGGGGTACATTTATTAAGACAATTCAAGCTTTTTACTGTCACTGTACAGGTACAATGAAACTATTAACAAGTGTTAAAGAGAATGCTAGACGTTTGAGTTAAAGGAACAGTTCTTGAATGAAATAGCCTTCATCATTTACTCACCCTCATGACGTTCCAAACCAGAATGACTTACTTCTGTGGAACACAAAGTTTAACGAATGAGGAAAATGAGGACAAAAAACATCATTAAAGTATTTCATATGACTGTATTCCAAGTCTGAAGATATGCAAAAGCTTTTTTGTGAGCTAAAAAACGGTTGTTATCAAAGAAAATAATTATTGACAGCTGTGAGGTCACCCTTGAGGTCATTGTATGGAAAAGAGCAACTTACAATTGAAATTAACTTGTACTTTAATATATTTTAAAATCGAATTATTCCTGTGATGGCAAAGCCATCACTCCAGTTTTAGTGTCACATGATCTTTCAGAAATCATTTTGATATGCTGATTTGATGCTCAGGTAATATTTCTTCATATATCAATGTTTAAAAAATAGTTGTGCTGCTTAATATTTTTGTGGAAAGCTACAATTTTTGACAAAAAAAAAGCATCATTAAAGTTGTTTATATGACTATATTCCAAGTCTGAAGACGTACAATAGCTTTCTGTGAGGAAAACGGTAAAGTTAAAGGTGCAATAGGTGATTGTCTTCAGAAACATTTTTTGTTATGCTGGTTGAAAGTCTCTTCACATTCCGATAGCAATCATTAAGTTAAGTGGTCTAAATGTCTTTATCTGTATTTATATATTCTGTGGAAGGCGTAGGACAAAGAAATGTTCGTCCAATCAAAACGCTCGGTCCGAGAGTTTTAATTATCTTTCCTACCTGCCTGTCAACGTATGTATCTGCATACCTCTGCGCACCCGGTTCGCGCAGACAGAATACGTCATCAGCACGTTCACGCACGCTGTGCAGACAGAGCAAGAATGGCAGACAAACATCAACAACCCGATCTTCTTTTAAAGTTTTCTCACCGGTGAATGACACATGATGTAGCCCAGCGGTTAATCCAGTCCTCGCGCCAGCTCGTTAGAAGTGAGCTACGTGCATGAACTGTGTTCCGATCCATATGATCCCTACACAGTGTTCATTGCTCCCTCCTCCCTGAGCAGGGAAAATCCGTTGAAGTTTACTTCACTTCGGAACTTGGGCTGGAATTGGGAACCACTGATGTAGCCTCTTGTAGTAATGTTGTTTGTGGTATTCTGGTATGTGAGCGTAAATGCTTTCAGGGGGCGTGGCTTTGGACGGCGATTGCAGGGAGGGTGGGACGTTCGCTTTCAGTGCTATCAGGCTAAAGTTAGCATTTTCCAGGATCTCCCACTGCACCTTTAAGGTTGCAAAGTTGAAAATATTACTTGACCATTGTAACGTGCTATATAAATCAGTAAACAAAAACTAAATTAACCACCGTTGAGTTCCTTGTATGAAAAAGAGCACCTTGGACAAACTGCTGTAAATATCTCTTTTTGTGTTTTTGAGTTTGAAACAACATGAGGGTGAATAAATGATGACAGAATTTTCATTGAAGGGTGCAAATGTTGTGGAAGCAACATTACAATAGTCTAAGAATGTTGTTGTTCTCAGAGACGACCACTTGATTGGTTAACTGATGATGTGGTCATAGGATCAGTGTTTCCATAGTGACTAGTCCAACCATTGACACACCAACATGAGGCACTGACAGCAGATGCACTTGTAATGCCAGTCTCTGTTTAGAGCAGTTGGACTCCTAATGCAATATTCAATATACAATATTTGGATTAGTGCTTGTTTGAAATGCTTTTTTATATTTGGTCCGTTCAATCCAGAATATGTCATTCTACTGTTCCGAAGTTTGGGGTCGGTAATATTTTATGTTTTTGAAAAAAGTCTCTTATATTCACCAAAGCTGCATTTAAACAAGTATGAACAGTAATATTGTGAAATATTACAATTTAAAATAACTGTTTTATGTTTCTATTTCTGTGATGACAAAACTGAATTTTGGGGAGCCATTACTGTCATTACAGTCTTCAGTGTCACGTGATCCTTCAGAAATCATTCTAATATGCTGATTTAGTGCTCAAGAATCTTTTTATTATTATTATCATCAATGTTGAAAACAGTTGTGCTGCTTTTTTGTGGAAAGCATGCTACATTTTTCAGGATTCTTCAATGAACAGAAAGTTCAAAAGAGCAGCATGTATTAGAAATATGTTTTTAACAATGTTTAAAAGCCTTTACAGTTTACAGCCACTTTTGATGAATTTATGCATCCTAGTTGAATAAACGTACTAATTTCTTTTAAAAATCTTACTGACCCCAAACTTTAGTGTACATACTTGTCTGGATAGCTGTTTTTAAAGATTTGTATCTGGATCAACCTTAGAATCAGTATCATTTTATTGTGTTATGAAAACCATCCTAATTCATAAATGAGGTCTGATTCAGATATGAGGACGGGATATCCTCTCCTCCACTCAGCCCCTGATGGAAAGGGCACATCAGCCTGACAATTCTCAAGTTACTGTCTATTTCTGGAGCACCTCCTGCCTGATTCATTAGTGTGGAGATGAGTTTCTTTAAGCGCTGAACCATAATGTTGCATCTCACTGTGGGTCAGCACTAAAAGCTGCTGGATAAAGACTAAAAAAAATAATTTGTACTCTGAAGTGTACTCAGTAAAAGATGTGCTTTCTGTTTGTAGGAGTGTTCTTTTGAACTTCACTGTTGGACCACCCTATATACCATGCTGGGGTTGCCTGTATGCTTTGGCCTCTTAACCTGCAGGAGATTCTCCTCGCCCCACCAGCGTTCTCGCCTACTGAGTCTAGGTGCTCTCACTAGTATGTACACCACACGTATGTACAGCGGTGGTGGGGGCAAGCCAGGTCGCCGCATCGGCCTGGTAGGAGGAGGGCCGCCCATGCTGGAGAACCACCATCATCCGCTCCCACCACATCACCCCCATGTCCATCAGCCTCAGAGCTATCCACCTGTTTATCAAGCCCGTCTAGACTCCCACCGGCCCCACTACCAGACCCACCAACACTACCACACCCACCCTCAAGTCACCCACCTCCCACCTCCACACTACCAGCCTCATGCGCATTTGCACCACGGCAAGAAGAAGACCTGGAACTTCATCCACGAGAAGATGAGCTACGACACCTTCTTCACCATGAAGCGGCTGATCGATCGCTCGCACACCGTGGATGAAGTTCTGCGCTGGGTCACCCAGAATCCAGGGAAGATCTCGCACAAACTTCATCCACGAGAAGATGAGCTACGACACCTTCTTCACCATGAAGCGGCTGATCGATCGCTCGCACACCGTGGATGAAGTTCTGCGCTGGGTCCCCCAGAATCCAGGGAAGATCTCGCACAATCATTACCCCATTGCCCTACAGAAGATCGGTCAGCTCCTGGTGCTGCAGCAGGCTGGAGGGAGCGGATCAGGCGGCGGTGGAGTAGCGGGTGACGGGGCCTTACCGGCATCCTCTGCTGGAGGTTCGGGGGAGAACGCCATACGACAGATTCTGGATAATCAGGATTTTCAGATGCTCTGTGATGCCATTGTCAATGACTGCTCCAAGTTTGACAACTTCAGCATTGTTAACTGCCTTTATGCTGTAGCTGCTCTTGGTGAGTCATCACGTTTAGTTCAGTAGCTAAAATGAATGTAGTGTAGTTAGATAACATGGACAGGCACTTTGAAATATTACATTTTGCACTATTTTTAGATTACTAAGTAATTAAGCAAATTACATTGACATTAAACATGACCCTTTCATCAAAAGGTCAGATTTCCTTACTTCCATTTAACAGGGTTAATTGAAATTACGTGCTATAAAGAAAAAAACCACACACAATACATAATATAGAACATTTTTTCCAGGAATATTTAAGAGAGAAAAGGTACAAAAAGTCACAAAGTGCTCAGTGCAAACACAATATGTTTTCTGTACCAGCTTGCGTTTATGCAGTTATTAAAGTAAAAGGATGTCCAAATATTAAGAAAATGTTTCAAGAAATCATGAATAATAGCATTGAATTGAATAACAAGTCATTGAAATGGCTTTAGATGGTAGTAAAGCACAGTTCAAAAATATTTAGTATATTTAAAATGTTTAAAAACAAATAATTGCTAAATATTAAAATATATTTATTAATAATAATAATCATTTATTTAAATAAAAAGAATACCTGCACACAATATTCAAGGGGCAAAAAAAGTGCATGGTGCATGTTTTCCATAGCAGCTCTTATGTACTATATGTTGTTATTGAAGCAAAAGGGTGCCCAAATAAAAATTTTTTTTTTAAATGAGATTGAAATTCTTGTTGTTTGAAACATTTTTAGGTGAAGTATAGCTTGTGACACTGCTTGATATGCCATGTCAACGTCCCAGTTACAGTCTATAGTTTCTTGATATTTTAATATAAAAACATGTATTTTTGTATCGATCCTGTGTGTTCTCCATCTCACTCAGGGCTGCCCAGTGACTCTCAGATCGTACAGGTTCTGGAGGAAGAGTCCCAGGCTCGCCTGTCCCAGTTTAACCAAAAGGACATCTCCATGGTTTTCAGCAGCAGCATGAAGCTTCATCCGTCCAGCCAGCATCCCTTGATTGAATCATGTCTCGCCGGGCTAGAGAAGAACATTGAGCGGGAGCGCCATCCCCAGACGCTCTTCCTCCTGCTCTCCTACTACCGCACTAAATGGAGAGCGCTGGGGGCGGCAGATGTAGTTTCTCCTGAGCAGCTGGAGGTGAACCGGAAGATCCTGCGGCTGGTGAAGCACACACTGGCTAGTGTTAGCAGCGTCAGGGACCATGAGATGGTTCTGCTGGATGAGATGCTGTCAGCATGTGCCAGGGAGGCTAGCAACAAGAGCCTCGAGCTTATCTTCAGCTCTCACCTCTTCTACCAGAACAGGCAGGAGAAGTTTGTGAGCAGCCTTGCAGGTGAGTTAACGACACATTTGTCTTGTTCAAAAATTAGAGGCAATTTTACTAAACTCAAGTAATTCTGTCTGAAAAGGAAACGTATAGGAACAGTTTAGCCAAAATTTAAACTTATTTACTGCAATTATTTACTTTATATATGTTTAAACCCTGTATTTTACATATACAGGTCATTTTAAAAGCCCTGGGGTTGATTTTTAATGGTTTTGAAAGAAGTCTCTTATGCTCACCAAGGCTGCATTTGTTTAAAATTACAGTTAAAACAGTAATATTGTGAAAATATTATTACAATTTAAAATAACTGTTTTCAATTTGAATATGTTTTTAATACATAATTTTTTACTCATGACACACTACTCTTTTGTGTGATGTGTGAAAATGTATGTATTTAAAAAATCCACCATAAACCCACTATAATAAAAAAAAAAAACATTTCAGAAGCTAAATGATCAACAAATAATCAAACATATAACTTCTAATAAACAAACAGAAATTACCGTTCATAATTCTGACATTCCTGTTAATAATCTTTGATTCTTTAAAATGTTGAGTGTGTGTCAATAGAGAAATAATCTGAGTATTAACTGAGGAGTTCCGGCAGAAACTAACTTTGACCACTTGGTGTTCATGGCAGAATTTTTTTTCCTGTGAACTCTCTTTGTATTAAAGTTTTTGAAATGATACACAATACAGCTGCACGATTAATCGTTAAAAGATCACGATCTTGATTCAAGCACCCATGCGATCCCATTTCGATTTGCCCGTGTCTATTAAACCTTCGGAAAAAAAATCATACAACATTCAAATCTGCGTTCGCACTGCCGCTGACACAGAGAGCAGACATTTACCATGTTTGGGTAAGAAACAGCTTCACAAACAGTCTTCTCAACTACATAGTATTATTTCTGTCTTATGGTCATTCATATTATCACAGAAATACTGGGATCAAAGTTTACAGTTAGCGATCAAAATACAGCAAATCCCCTTTTGAAAGTAACTGGTGCTTCAAATGACGTGTCGATTGCATTGTGGCTGTTAAAAATGTATTTGTCATTAAATCTTCCGTTCAAGAGATTCATTCAAAAATGCTGATTCATCTAGTAATAAAACAAGTGATGTATTTATGAGTGTGTCATCGAATCATTCATTCAAACCACTTTTTCAAAATTGTAATATTAAAAATTGGTGCATTTAATATATTTTAAATGTATATGTATATTAAAATGTTTAATTCATTCAAATGAAACACTTTTAAATAGACTGCAGCAATAGTATTTTGTTTCGTTCAGAATAGTGGGAGAGTCGTGATCTCTATTTGAGACAAAAAATTGTGATTCTCAATTTATCCAGAATCGTGCAGCTCTAATACACAGTTTCCTGTTGCCACGAATTGAATGGGGGGTGAGAAATGAGGCTAACTTGAAACCCTTTTTATCTTTTTAGAGGAGTTGCCTAAAAAGGTTGATAGCATTACGCCTTACACCATGGCCCTCATCGCCAAATACATCGCTCGCCATCGCCTCAGAGAAACCCGCTTGCTAGACACTATCGCTGACTTCTTGGTCAAGAAGGGTGAATACCTGGACAGCAAGGTTTGAGAACTTGTCCAGTTTTGGTACTAAAGAGTTGTTTCAATAGGAAAGAATTTTCATTTTCCATATTATACAGTGCTGATAAAACCACATGAGCAATGTGTTGTATTGAACCTTTCCCCTTTCAACATTTTCTCTGTCTAGGTGATCCAGAAGCTCGTTTTCCCGTTCAGTCGTATGAGTTATCGGCCGGCTAATGAAGCTCAGTTTTTCTCCAAGCTGGAGATGGCGCTTGAACTAAAGGCTCTGAGTTCTCCGCTGGCCACCGTAAACATCCTCATGTCTTTGTTTCAGCTGGGCCATTTTCCTGGGCTTGTTCTTCACCGTGTCTTCTCTCCATCGTTCATCAGTAATGTCACCAGTGAGTTGGAGTTTGTCATTACTGGATGCTTGTTTGTGGAGTGCTAAGAAGACTAGTGCTCATCTCTTGAAAAGATAAAATAGTCGGCCTTTAAATATCCTTATTTGCTCAGATGGTTCAAGGCTCCATGTTGGTTTTTTAATGTTTAATGAAACTTATTTATAATATCCTGGTCACACATAAGTAAACACTAAAACTGAATTAGACCAGTACACACTCTTGCAAACACATTACAGGTGACACATAGCAATAGTGACCTCTGCTGGTGGACTTATTTCTTTACATAACATTCATTGCAATTCTTCAACAGTATTTATTTATATTGTTTACTTTAGTATAAATAAAGACAGTATTTTACTGTCTTTTGATACAAAGACCCACATAAAAAAATGAAACTGAATTCCAAAAAGGATGAAGGAATGTCTAGATCATGTTTCATATTATTAAATCATATAATTAAATGTATAAATACTTTACAAATGATTAACTAAATTGCAATAAAAAAAAAAAATCACCTCACAGAACAAATAATTGTGGTTTATTTTTATTAAAATAATTTTAGAAGTTTCTTAGACTATAAAAAGTTTGAGTTTGGGGTTTGTAAGTTTTAAATATATGTAGATTTTAAGATGTCTCTCATGCTTACCAGGGCTGGATTTATTTCATTATGAATTCAGTAAAAAAACAGCGATATTGTGAAATATTATTGAAATTCAAAATAACTGTTTTCCATTTAAAAAAATGTAATTTATTCCTGTGATGCAAAGCTGAATTTTGAGCAGCCATTACTCTAGTCTTCAGTCTCACATTATCATTCAGAAATCATTCTAATACACTAATTTGGTGCTCAAGAAACATTTTTTTTTATTATCAGTGTTGAAAACAGTTGTGCTGCTAAATATTTTTGTGGAAATCGTGATACTTTTTTTCACAATTCTTTGGCGAATAGAAAGCTCAAAATAACAGCATTACTTAGAATTTTTTTGTAACAATGTAAAAGAGTTTACTGTCACCTTTTCTCTGTCTCTTGTTTGTAGACAGCCCATATGCCCTGATTGTACGTCGATACCTTTCACTACTGGATGCAGCCGTCGAGCTGGAATACAGGGACTACACTGGACCTCGCCTTCTGGATACCCACAAAGTGCTCATGTTCGACCACGCTTTAACTGCGGATGAGGTGAACCGCAAATACAGGTTAGTGACTTTAGAAGTCTGCCAGTATCCTGAAATCCAAAAGAGGTGTTGCATCAATTTGTCCAGGTAGCAGTGAGCTCAGAGTGTTTGTATTGCAGTTATAAAGGTCTGGTTGCAGAGGCACTCCGGCAGCTTGTTGGTGAGCACGGCTACAAACAAGATGAAGTTCTCGCACCAGGATATTGCACAGGTCATTTTCTTGTTGTAATCCATGTATTTGTGTAGAAGTCAACTGATATAGATTTTTGGATGGCCAGAGAGCCAAGCCAGTATAGGTCTATATGATATTGCTGTATGTAATTTAAAGATGGTTAAATAACATGCATAATTTCTGCAGTGAAGTTGATATTTATTTTACGTAAAGTTTCTAAAATAATAAAAAAATAAAGTCCCAAAGTAAACTAAAGCCCCAAAAATAAATCAAAATCCCACTTCTGACACCAAACAGAAAAATTTAATGGTGCTGATAAAAAAGCCAAATATTGGCTGTGGCTGTATGCATGAATTTAAGTATTAATCATTTTTGTTGTGTAGTATTATAATTGTTATTAATATTAATTTTGGTGCTATTAGGAATTCATGTGTAGTTTTCTCTTATGGTAGTAGTTATATAGCTTTATTTATGTTATATATGTACATATATGTTGACAAACTATTGATTTTAAAAATGTAATTACACTTAAGTGACTCCGTCTGAACTTATTTGCTCAGGAATAAAACAAATAGTAAAAGTAAGCTTACGAAGTACAGTAATATCATGAAATATTATTACAATTTAAAATAACTTTCATGTAATTTTGCATACAATTATTCATATTAATTTTAGCATGATTATGAAATTCATGTGGCATTTTTCTTATGGCAGATTTCCTGCTGTGGGTCGACAGCACGGGCCGCGTCCTCCCCATCAGAACAGGCACACCAGCAGCATCATTAGCAGCAGGTTCAACCGCGTGTGTAGTACTGAACCTCAAATCTCCAGAGGGGCCCGGCTCTGTCGCAGCCCTTACTACTGACTTCCAGAAGTTCTCTCCCTTTGCCCCGTCACTGGAGGAAGGGGCCAACAAACGAGCAGGAGAGCAGGAGTCTGCCTTCCTCTCTGCTCACATGCGTCCCCCAGCAGCAGCAGCAGTAGGATCTCAGAGGGTCGGTCCTAATGGAACGGTCCCGCTGAACTACAACCCATATTACAGCACTTCAGATTATTACTCGACTCTAGCCAAGGAACACTCTCTGGAGAGCCAGGACAGCTCCACCCTCAGTAGCCCCTCAGACTGCCTGACCCAGACAGGACCCTCTGTTCCAGGCACGGTTGCTCCGCAAGACTCCCTGTTCCAGTTCTCCATTGGAAAAATCCTGGAGGATGAGGGAGGTGCTGCAACAGGAGCAAACCCGGGGCCGGACTGTGAGATGGCTACATTTTACGAAGGTGTTTCGTACCCAGAGGGTGGTGAGAGTGATGTTGTGGCTGCTTCTCCACTGCAGCTTCACAACCCAGACAACCCTGAAGCTGACCGGACCACAGGAGAGCAGGTGAAGAGGTCAGTCCTTCCTTAATCATTCAGTCAAATATATATCTATGCCATCTGGGCTTGAATGTCTTGCTCATTATTTTTAACCCATTCTTTCTGTCCTTCCTCACATGCAGGGTTATTATGTCTGTAAATGATAAATGGCATTACTGCCATTATTCTGACGTGCTGGTCGGATCCAGGGCAATGAGAGACCGTCACCTGCAATTATTGGGCTACATCATACTACAGGTGAACACTGAGCAAAATATTTGATTTATTCAATTTTTAATTTCTTCAGGCTTAAGATATCATATATGCTGTGTGTCTAGTTTATTTTAAATAGTAGGGACCCACCAATATTTGGAATATATGACTTAATTTTAATAGCAGAATATAATGTTTTATGTTACATTCAATAGTACATCAAACCTAATCTGATTGCAGCTCTTTTCTTTAAAAAATAAAACACTATACTAAAATCAATAGTTTAAGTCAATGTATATGTACATATTAAAATACATATTAAAACTATAATTTTGAATTCTTAAAGATTAGCTTGCATGGGGAAAATATAAGATTTTTTTCTGAAATTAATACTTTTATTCAGCAAGGAGACATTAAATTGATCAAAAAGAGACAGTAAAGACATTAATAATGTTACAAAAAAAACTTTCAAATAAATGCTGTTCATTTTTCATGATCATGATTTTTTTTTTAATGATCATGATTAATCAGATTAACTTTTTATTCATCAAAGAATTATGAAAAAAGGATCACCATTTCCAGAAAAATATTAATCAGTACAACTGTTTTAAACTGTGATGTAATAAGAAATTGAATGGTATATGAAGGAAATAAATAATAAGTAAAGTTTCTTGAGCACCAAATCAGCATATTAGAATGATTTCTGAAGGATCATGTGACACTGAAGACTGGAGTTATGATGCTGAAATTTCAGCTTTGTGATCACAGGAATAAATTTCTGTTTAAAATGTATTTAAATAGAATGTATTTTAAATGTATTTAAATAGAACATAGCTATTTTAAATTGAAATAATATTGTACAACAGTACATTTTTACTGTATTTGTGATCAAATAAACTTGCTAAATAGAGTTAAATCTTTACTATAGCATTAAGGCAGCATTAGATTATGGCAAAAATATCAAAAATAAGGAATTTACAAAAAAAAAAAAATCACTATTTATATAATATTTATAAAACTTAATTTACTTGTATTTTACTTGCAGTTGCCCTATTTGGAGTTGGAGAAGCTGAACGGGATAGAGGAAGTGAAGCAGTACCTACACAAAAAGCTGCTGGAGGTTCCTTTATGACGACATAAATGCAGTGTGTTTGTGTGCTTCAGAGAGTATGTGCCACATCCACAGTTTCAAGAGGTTTCGTTGTTTTCAGAAAGACGATGGTGTCTGTGTGTGTATGTGAGCGTCTGTATGTGCGTTTGTACACCGGATGTGAACAGTCCTTGATTTCAGGACAAAACTTCGGCTGACACAAGGAATCTGGGTGGGTGGGTGTTATTGTTATTCTTTAATTACACAGAGATCTTCTTAGGGCAAAGTTCAAAATAATATATGTAGTCTATCTGTGCCTGGATAATAAAGCTTATTCAGCATCATCAAGCAAACATTACTCTCCTCAGCAAATGATCAAGGGCCATTTCATTCTCAATGAACATCACAAAACATCAGCAGCACTTCTGAAATCTTTTAGATTTTGTCCAGAGTGAGTGTTTTTTGGGTATATTTGGGGGTGGGAAGAACAGGCGGTTTGTTATTATATGTTCGCCAGCATTTTATTTTAGTTTTTGATGGTGTTCCCACATCCCCTTTTGTGTCCTCACTGTTTTTTTGGTGTGTTTAGGTGCAAGTTTGTCTTTTGGGGCAAGTATAGTACAGTATATTTTATGGATGTGGACACAAGTTTGCAGGGGTCTGGTGATGAGCCACAGCTAGCCTGTATTTCAGACGCTGCCACCACGACCACTGCTGCTCTTTGGTTTTGAACCTAAAAGAATTGAGGTTTTGGGGATAAATATGGACATATATGTTAAGAAATAAATGGGGATGTTGATTAAAAGTCTTATGATGTGAACTGTATGGATTTACAGAATAGATAAAGATGGAATGTACAAGAATTATTATATGCAGGAATGGGTTATGTTTATGTATTTTATTTTCTCAAAATGATTAACCGCTTGTGAGGGGAAAAAGCAATGCACAAAGTTGACTGCAGGATAGTTATTAAATAATGTTTTCATCTCTCCCATGTGGAGAATGTTGCATTTTTAGATTGTGCCTTTAGTGTATGAATCTGTCCTCATTGTAATCTTCAGACAAATTCTAAACATAAAGCTTAATGAAAGTCTTTTATGAAAAGACAAGTAAATGTAGCTGCAGTTAAAAAAATAATGTTAATTTCATCATTAAAAATAAATAAATTCATGGAATCCAGTTGGATTTGTCATATTCATTTTTTTCACAGTGACAGGCAATGATCTAGTGTGATGTTTAAGTATTATCATAGTTCATTTTAATAAGTACAAAATAAGTTTTGCATAGTTAATTTCAATTAAAGCCAAGAAGGTTTGTTAAATCAAGGCCTTGCTTACATTCATGTGATTCGAGAAGCTTGATACGAAAAGCATAAAGATCCTAAAATCAGATCTTAATATGGAAGATGTATTTTGTGCGAGTCAACCATACACCACTTTCTCTGTGTGCATTTGCTTTGCTCTTTCTTTAGAGGGAAAGATCATTTATTATGGGAAGTGAATGTAAGTGGACCGTGTGAGTGAACGTCTGTGTCAGGTAGCAGGTGGGGAAATGGATTGAAATGTCTGTTTATATATACATAATAAAATGTCTATATAAAAAAGATTATTAAAAATGAAAAAGCAGAAAATTGAGTTTGTCTTCAGTTTATTTTTTCAAGCCAGGTAGATATCCTTATGTTACACTCTACACTTATGTCAAGTTGCAACCAATATGCAGTGTTATTTTAGTATTATTTGTATAATATTATAGTATTTAATAACATTTTTAATTATTATGATTATTAGCTTATATATTTTCAGATTTTATTTTAGTTTGGTAACTATTTTGCTGTCCATTGAGTTCTATTCTATATTATTAATTATTTGTATTATAATTAATATTTTTATTATCAATATTTTGTTCTAGCTTCATTTCAGTTACCCTCATGTTGTTCCATATCTGTATGACTTACTGCTGCAGAAGACAAAGGAAGATATTCGTTTTTTCATCTAATATGAATTGTTATTAATTATTAATTTTATTTCAGCTTCATTTCAGTTACCAAAGTGGTAGTTTGTTAACACTTTGTCTCATCTGTGGATAAATCCTCATCAAAAGTTGAATATCTCAATCTTGAAAATTGACTTTAAAAGGGATTTTGCCACAAGCTTAAAGCTGGCCTGTCAAACATAATGGATTCAGCCTGTTTAACACAGGCTGATCAGGTGCTAGTGGCAGCTCTGAGTTTGTCATTTAGTGTCCAACACATCTAAGCATCTGTGTGTGAAGGACAGACAGTAAAAACATCATCTTCAGGTGATCTAGTTGCAAAATACATGCATTCACTAAAAGAGTGTCTGTTTATTTTGGCACAGCTGCATTGACAGGTAAAGTGTTCGAATTTTCTTAAAGAAACAGTTCACCCAAAAATTACATTTCTGTCATCATTTACTCACCCTCGCGTCGTTCCAAATATGAGTGACTGTCTTCTGGGCAACATAAGAAAATATATTTTAAAGAATGTAACAAAACAGTTTTGGTGGCTATTGAGATATATATCTTTCATGTTCCACTGACGAAAAAAGAGAAAATGCCAACATATTTTTTGTTTTTTATATGGTGAACTATCCCTTTAAATACTTTCAGAATTAGTTATGTCAATTTACGTATATTAATGATTTTAATAATATATAACGTTGTAAAGCTTGAAAGTTATCCGTGATTAATAATATCTATTTTTTTTTTTTAATTTTGACTAGATTATTACTAATAGTTGTCTTGAAGGATTTGACTTAAAGTCACCATGAAATCAAAATTGAAAATTATTATTTTTGAATGGAATACTGTAGTGTTTATTATAAATCATTTATCCGTGCACTTCATATTTTTTTTTTAATTAATGTGCCCTTCTAATCTTTAAACAAAAACGTTAACCTCCCCTCCCCCTCAAAACGACTCATCTTCTCTTCCGGTCACGAGCTATGGCGCAAGGGCGGAGCTATCTGGAACTGCCAACATCAGTGACCTTTGGAATAAACTACAGGGGGGGGAAAGCGGAAGCTGATGCTTCACTTTATAGCACTGACACCAGTCATGAGGGAGTACGTTACCCCTAAACATTGAAAAGATATTAGGATATTACGACAACATTACTCTTAGGACATCGCAAAAAAATGTTTTCAAGAATATGACTTAACCTGATGGAGGACGCGCCCAGTCATTCAGGCAGTCTCTCTCTCTCTCTCTCTCTCTCTCTCTCTGGCGCGGGAGTGCTGTTTAGGCATGTTTTGTGCCGTTGATCGTCGTTGTCATCCTTAATAAATAAAACATTTATTCATGCTTGGGTGTCGGCTGTAAATCCAGTGGAGAGAAATCCCCCACCACTAACTGCAAACTGGCATTCAGATCTGCCTCCATTTTGTTGGCAACGCCCCAACTTCCAAGGATCCAATCAATTCCCGAAGGACGAAATCAAGTCCCGCCCTCTCATTTCAGATGCCGTTTCACTCGGATATACGTCACAGTAGAGAAGAAAATACAATCGCAACTTCCGTTTCATGCCGACTTTAAGCCAATAAACCTTTATTTTGAAGGTAGGTTTTTTTTAGCCGGAAGTAGTCGTTGTGGCATCATTCTATCCTGCCAGTGATCAGGAAGCGCAGACGTTAAAGGGTGCGAATCATGGACCATCAAACGATGTGATATGTCAACGGTAAGTCGTTTTCGGAGCCTCATAGAGGCTTTTACAAAGTTTTAACTCCACTCATTTCGAGGACACATTCAGTTGAGGCGTAGCTAAAGGAAACAGCTGTGTTGAGCGCGTGATAACTGCTCTGTTTGGTGGCTATAGCGGTGCCTTTACGTTCACGGACAGATTTTCACTAATAAACACACACCTGATGCTTATCAGACCAACACGCATTGCTTTAGAAAATATAAGAATTGGCTGTTTTTGTAAAAAAAAAAAAATATTTAACAAACTTTTTTTGTGGATGTAACGTTACTGGTTACGTGGCTGTTGATAACTGTTGTTGTTGTTTTTTTCGTTTCCTGTTCGTGTTCTTACCTTTACATTACGTTTCATGATTAGACGCGTAAATTCACCTGTTGTTCATGTGAACGATCACACTTGTGTATTTAAATGATGCTTTAAAAAAGGTATTGCTCTTAACGCGATAGTTCACCCAACGTTTATGAAAAGTATGTCATCATGTACTCACCCTCGTGTTGTGTCAAACCCGTATGTCACTATTTCTGAGGAACAGAAGAGGAGATGTTTGGTAGAATGACAGCTTCTCTTCACTTTCGTTGTATGGAATAAGATGTTATGAAAGTGAAAAATTATTAAGACTGTCAGTCTGTAATGTTCTGCCTAACATCTCTTCTTTTGTTCCACGGATGAAAGAAAGTCATAGAGGTTTGAAACATATTCTGAGGAACATATTCTACCCGCTTTGCTCTTGAGAAATGTGCTGTGCGGTGGACTGCATGCATAATGAAAGCAGCTGTCATCAGACGGCATGAGATATGACCTGAAACATGCTGACACTCACAGTTAAGAGAGGAAATATTTGGTTTACTGAGGGACCACTACACTGCTTCTCTGTTCAAAGGTTGCGGCTTATGCTTGTAACAGTTTAAAGGATTGTACAAAGACTATTTCTGCTTTAGTAGTCATGCTGTGGGAAAACATCAAATTCATAGACCAATTTATCAGCCTAAAATGATCCAGATGGTTATGTCATAGTTTTCTAAGGCAAGACACTACAGGCAAAACCATTGATTTTTCATGTGCTGGTCAGTTTTGAGATTTAGGGGTATTTGGCTTCAATGGCATGTCTACCTAAGAGTAGTGGAAAGAAAACATCCAAAATACACATTTAAGTATTTATGTTATGCTTTATTTCCGTCTGGAGATTTCATTGACATTTACATTGATCTTTAAAGGCTGTTTTCTCAAAATGAGTTGTTTGTGTTTGTGTACACCTAAATTTCAATTTTTATTCCCATGTACGTTCTAACGGTTTTTACAGAGGAGTTTGTTCATTTATCATTTGCCTGATATAATACTGGTTAATTCACGGGGAATGTATTTCCCTTGCTGATGAAGCTTGACAGTATTTTCTAATTTATGGGGTAATAGAAGATATTCAAAATCTCCTCGTTAAAAAAAAATCAGTATGTCAACAAAATGAAAGAGGACCTGGCTTTATCCAATGTTCATATTTCTGGAAATAAATGCAATTTAGTGCATTTTAATTTATAA